GGTGGGGGCGGGGCGGGGCGGAGGGCAGGGTACGGGATGGGGCCTAGACCAGGAGTCGAGCGCTGCACTCGTCCTGGCATAAGCGACAGCACGCGGCCTGAAGCCCCTAACCCTGGGCCAGACGGCCCCAACCGCCGCGCGCCCCCGTCCCGCACGACGCAGCCATTCGCAAACGGGCGGCCCGCGCCGGGCGCATGTACACATGCGCGCACCTCCCGCAGGCTGTCGCGCGTGATGGTCCGCTCCGGCGCCGCGCCGTGGCGCCGAACCACCGCCGGCTCCCTCTGGGGGTGCCCGCCGCCACGCCCGCCCCCGCGCCCGCCGCGCGCCGGCGGCGCCGCCGCCTCGCCGTGCGCCGCGGCGAGCACCGCGGTGCCGTCGGGGCCGATCAGCAGCTCGGCGCCGCCCTCCTGCATCGTCTGGACCTGCTGCAGCAGCATCGACTGCAGCTGCAGGTGCTGCAGCTGCGCGAGCTGCGTCTGCAGCTGCAGCGTCTGGAGCTGCTCCTGCGACAGCATGCCGTCCGGCCCCGGCGTAAGCTCTCCGGTTTCTATGCCGTGCTGCAGGATTTGAGCCTGCAGCGCCATCAGCTGCTGCACCTGGTCCGCGCCCGCGGCGTCCCCGCCGAGCGCCAGCTGCGGGCCTCCCTGCACCAGCAGGCCCTCCATCAGCTGCGCCGCCGCCGCGCCGTCCGCGCCGCCGCTGCCGCCGAGCTGGGCGGCGAGGGTGGGGTCCTGCGCGAGCATCGCCTGCAGCTGCGCGTGCTGCTCGGGGGTCAGGTGCGCGACCTGCAGCGCGCCGGCCGCGTCGACCTCGTGGCTGCCCTCGTGCCCGCCGCCCGCGCCCTCCGCGTCGCCGCCGCCGCCGTCGACACGCGCGCGCTTCGCGGAGGGCTCATCGCCATCTGCGTCGCCGCCGCCGCCGTCAGCGCCCGTGGCGGCGAACTGCGTGCCGGCGAGCATGTTAATGCCGCCAAGGCCGACCATGCCCGGCAGCTGCGCGGCCTGCAGCTGCAGCTGCTGCAGCATCTGCAGCTGCGCCAGCATGGCTGCGCCGTCGGCGCCAGCCTCGCCGCCGCCGCCGTCTGCCAGCTGCAGCAGCGAAAGCAGCTGCGGCTCGCCGCCTGCGCCCGCCGCGTCGCCGGCGGCGGCCTGCGCCTGGGCAAGCAGCAGCTGGAGCTGCTGCTGCTGCTGCTGCAGCTGCAGCTGCAGCTGCGCCTCAGTTTCCTCCATGCCGTCCGGCATATGGCCGTCGCCCGACAGGCCGAGGAGCATGCCCGCGGCGTCCTGCTCCTGTGCGGCCGGAAGTTGCTGCTGCTGCTGCTGCTGCTGCTGTTGCTGTTGCTGCTGCTCTGGGTGATGCTCAATGCTCGCCTCATGCTTCACATGGATGCCGCCATCTGCAGCCCCGAGCTGCGCGAGCAGCCCAGGGTCAGCCTGCGCATCGACGCCGTTCGCCATGTGCTCGTCCGCCACGGCGTCCATGCGCGCGTGCGCCTGCACAGCGCGCGCCTGGCCGGCCTCCCGCCCGCCGCCTTGCGGCCGAGAGGACGAGGCGAAGGGCGCGTGCGCCTGCGGCGCTTTTCCCACTTGTGTGTGTCGAGGCAGGCCCACGCGCGCCGGGACGGGCGGCGTCGGTGCGAAGGTGCTCCGCCGGGCCTGCGCCCAGACGATAGCGTACATACATGATCAATAATCGGCAAAAGCCTCAGTTCTGTATTGCACAGGGCCTCGCGGCCAGGTTGGACACTGCTCCGCACCAGGCTGTCCCCGAGCCCACCAGTCGGCACCATTGATATGATAGGGCTCAAAAATAACCCATGCGAGCCACTCCCGGGGCCGCTGCGCCAGACCGCCCCCTCAGCCACCGACGCCTGACCGCCTTCGACTTCCACGCCCGCTCAGCGCCCGCCCGTGGTCTCGCGGTCCCCCGCTGGCCAGCCCCCAACCTGCTACGGCCCCGAGCGCGCCAGCAGCTCGCCAACCGGTGGCCTCACACTGCCTCTAGCCTCAAGCTGTTCTTGTGCTGCGCCTTTCTATCGTGCCTGCTTGTATAACGGTTTTGAGTATTGTATCGGAAAATTGTGCACCTGCGCGGCTTGTCAACACTCTTCTTGCGGTGTCTAGAGGTACAGCACCTTCTCCAAGCACTGAGATTGCACTGCTGCCGGTGTTCATCCGGCTTAACTTTCATGTTCTCGGTCTCTACATCCCTCCTGGATTGCCGAGGGACGGCGCTCGTGAGCGCGCCCGCTGTGCATGCTGGACATGCGATCGCAGCGCATGCAGCCTGCACTCGGCTGCGTTCCATGACCTGAACTCCAGTGTCTGGCTGGCGTGCGCTTGGGCGGTGAGGTGGGGCCATGGTTGAGGCGTGGGGCGCGCAGATCTGCCGAACAACACTGGCAAAGGTGGACGCAAGGGGCATGAGGACGAGGTCACTGACCGAAGAGGGGTTGTCGGCACTAGCTTTCTCGGATCCATGGGTACGTGGCAAACTGTCAGGACTCTAGCAACTTGGGTCATAGTGGGGTGCGCATTGGACGATGTATGGGCCGCCTCGTGCGAGCCTGATTGCAGGTGTGGCGGCTCAAGCTGGAGATCGGATCCGCTCTCTAAGAGAGGGGGGGGGGGAGTACATCAGGGGG